GATACTCAATTTTTTTTTATTTCCCTCTTGATATTAAATAAAGCGTAATCATTGTCAATTAATTTTGATGACTATTACTAATTTTTAAATCATCTTGCAATTTTACGCATAATTCATCGAAACTCCTAATGGACATTCGAAAATAATTAAAAAATTTGGAGCTATCCTCTCGTACCTCATGAAATAATGTTACAAGTTCACCCATCAATTGTCTGTTTTCAAGTAGTGGATGAATCCAAAATCTTCTTGTTTTTTGTGTTTTTCTGCGATTATGCCATATCATTAGTAACAACATGCGTTTTTTTCTTTCGTCCATTTTGATCATGTATCAAAACAAAACTAAACCGTGAAAAACCGTGTGCAGTGTGAACGCAAAGCAAAATGAAATTACGGCACGGCACGGCACGGTTGCCGTTAGAAAACCGTCTGTGTGAAAGCAGGGTAACGTTTCGATAGCATGAGTAGCGAGCTTTTTCAGGGGTCCTTCCACACCCATACTATGGATGGATACGGACTCGTGCTAGCGAAGCGTAAGGAACTCCAACACACGATGGCCTTTAAGACCCGGATCAAAGCAGCATCGTTGTCGTTTAGTTGGAATTGTTAGGTACAAATCACCTGCTTTTTGACATGTTTATGTGTCAATATTGAATTATAGGGTCATAAGATAGGGTAACGTCTTGCCGACGAAATGATCAAGTAACTTTTTGAAAGAACACCCTAGTTAAATTTCGAGGTCTGTTCAAAAAGTATAGCGGATTTTAAATTTACGTTAAGTATATTCGACTTTTGATTTTTTGTGGCATTATGTTTCTCACTTTTACAAGCTCGGTCATGTTGAATGTTCTACCAGTCTTGTGATTGACGATCTTATGATGATGATGATGACCATTTGAATAAGGAAAATTCGCGCAAATACCTAACCTAATAACCACTATCTTTTCATATTAATAATAAAATAATAAGTCTAATAAATGTAATTTAAATCTTTTGACGGGTGTTTGTGTTTGTGAAAAGGTTTTGAGAGTTGGGTTACTTTGGGACAGTTTTCAGAGAAGTAGAAGATAGAGAGGGTTAAAAAAAAATATATTCCACACATTCGTTCTTCCAATTAAGCATTTTCGCTCGTACTACAGAAACAAAAAAAAAAATACCGACAATAAAATGTGTAATAACATAACGGAAAAGGCTTTCGCTGCCAGTTGGTCGCCGGTTAGAGTTCCTTTTTAACATTTCGCTGGCACGAATGACAAGGTCTTTTTATCTCCGATGGTGGATTAATCAAAATTGTATTTGCTCCATTCGTGACTTAAGTTTTTATTTTGTATTTTGCTACTTTGTAGACAAGGCTTTATTAGTATCAAGTGAATTCAATTAATTTTGTAATAGATAGATAGATAGCTTTATTAAAAACATTATGTTTTATATATACAAGGTGCAGTTACATTTACATTTACTTATTTTCTCTTTTCTACTTTCTCGTTTTTCTGCTATTTACCTCCTTATTCATATTTTTCTCATCTTATTTAGACCATCCTTTCTTTCCATTTTTATTAATTTTCTTCTCCTGCTATTTTTCTCTTCCACAAGATTTCTCTCATCCTTTTCATGTTGTTCACTCCTTCCAGTTGAGCTTTCCAGCTTTTTGCAGAACTTCCCGTTTCCCCACATCGCTCAAAAATATGTTCAAGCGTCTCTGGCTCCTTTTTACATAATCTGCATAATTTCTTTTCTTCTTCCTCCCAATACCTTGACGCTCTATTTTCGCTTCCCAATCTGAATCTTGCAGTTAATTGTAGGTGGTTTTTTCTCTTTACTCCTTCATCTTTCAAATAATGAGGTTTTTCTTCTCCTTCTTTCCATAATATCTTGTACTCTTGAGCGAATTTCATGTTTCTCATTTTCTCTCTCCTTCTTTGTTTGTCAATATCTTTAGTTAAGTTTTCTAGTTCCTTCCATACATTTCTCTCATTTTCCAGCTTCCATATATAATGTTTGATTGACCATCCTCTCTCCATTAAAAAATTCTTTCTTTCTTTTTTCCATCTTTCCCTTGTGGTTTTCTTTTCTTCCTTTTGCAAGAGCGCAATTTTGTCCTTAACTTTTACACATTCTTTTAGTATTGCGTTGCCTTCGGAATTTAATATTTTTTCTTCGTACTTTAAGGCCCTTTTTGAATATTTTATGGTCAGTTTTTCATATTTTGTTTCTTCCTGAAGAAGGTATCTCGGAGTACTCTTATCTAGCTTTAGTGTCCATTTAATATATCTGTCCTGAATACTTTCGATTTCTTTTCTCTCTTCCCATCCCCAGATTTCTGCCCCATACATTATTATACTTTCTACTAGTGTCTCGAAAAGAAACATTCTCTTTTTCCAGCAATCTCTTAAGTTTCTTTCTCCTATTCCCTATTTTTTTTAATAAGAATAATCATAATGTAAACTTATCTGGAGAAAAGGAACAAAAGCTGAATCAATGTGGAAGTTCATCAGTTACTTTAGTTTGCAGTTTTTGATCGTTGTTTTAATTGATTATTTTCACTAACGTTAAATTATTCAGACATTTCATTCTGAAAATTGCACCGAATAGTCATTTGTAATAGTCATAATATGGGGCAATTATTATGATTATTTATTTTTTCAGGTCAAAATCGATATTTCTAAGCAGCTAGGATTTATGGGATACGTCAAACTTCCATGTATTGCTAATTATGGATCGTGCACTTTTGGAAGAATTTGTGAAATTTTGGATACGTATCCGGAAGATTCCTTTGCGTATAAGGTTTCTTGTCCTAACTGGCTTAAAAAAGCGGGAGTTAAATGTAAATGCCCGGTCACAAAGGTATCTTTAATTTGCAGTTTTTCACGTCAACTTATATGAAGATGTATTTCTTTAGTTCTATAATGTTATAATTCCACAATTCTAAAGGTGAGATCAGAAACGTCACAGAAACATTAAACTGCGTATATTAATCAATATATTTATGTAAATAAAAATAGACTTCGTCATTGTACACCAATGTGGTTGCATTTCGGTACTTGTAATGATGTGAGAGATCTAGTGGTTAAATGTAGTAACCTAGGACATTTCCATATTTTGACGAAAGTGTTAAAAAAAATGTTTGGATGGAATTTCTTATAATGGTTTGCGAGTAGACCACTGACCACCAAATACCCACATAGAAGAAGTCAGAGTGTATTAGAATACTCTTCATTGTTTCTAAAGTGATTCTCAGCTAGAATGATCTTCAATATTTCTGATAGGATTGCCTATTCGAGAATGTATGAGTGGTGACTGTTGAGGATGACTTTTGACACTATATTAGGACATTTTACAAAAATTTCGACCAACGTATTCTAGAAATTTTTTTTCTTACTAGAATATTCTTAAATATTTTTAGGGTGATCCTCATTTAGAATGTTCTGGAACTTTCCTCAAGTAGAATGTCCTAGAGTGAATTGGACCAGAAGAATCGAGAATGTTTGACTTTCGAGAATCGTTATGTGTGAGTGGTGTAGCCAGGCAATGACACTAAATTCGGGACGTTTTCACATATTTCGATGTGTCTTAAAACATATTTGAAATCTTGTATAATATTCGAGATTCCACCAGTCTCGTATGTGTTTGGGTTTGCGATTTGGTCATCAAACACCCCTTTTCGAAAGAAAAAGTGAGAATGTAAGCCCATCGAAGCGGATTGTCTAATTAGTAACGAACAACTAATAAAATATTCTTATGAATAAATTTTTGATCAGTATTCTTTCGACAATTTATTCTATTTGGTATAAGTGCCTTAATATAACGCGGATGAATACGTCGTGAGTTCAGTTTGATAAGCTGATATCTTTAATTAACAAAGACGTTGTTCAACATTCACGAATTCCACAATAAATAGCAAAATTGGCGTTTTGCTTTCTCAGATATTTCATCGTTCTTTCTTAAAACTCACCTCCATACAATCATCTGTGAAAATGATACCAACAACAATACCAATGAAATATCTAGGAAAGTACAATTTCATGGAAAAATATTACATCCACATTCGTTTAGATTTAAATATTGACGTGACAACGTCTTATAATTCGATGGAGCCGGCTGCACGCACGAAAAAACATGACTCATGCGGCGTTACCTCGCTCTGAGGCGTTCCATTTAAGGCTTGAAGTGCAAGCGAGAGCGCGGAACGAGCGACAAAGAGGCACAATCGGCCTCCGCGTTCGGCAGCGTTCGACATCTGTCTCTCTCCTACTTGAGTGAGCGATGCGTCCGCGTGGACAGCTGCTATACAATAATACATTTCCATTTACCTCCTTCTCTATATCCATACAAAATATCTATCAAACAAATAAAATTAAAATTTTCTTTTCAAAAATGAAACCATTCCATCAGTATTTTCTTATGACGTTGTCACGTTCAACTATCGTCAGTAAACCGACTTTACAGACAACCGATTTTTAACACATTTCTTCTTGCCATTTTCTTTTATCATACTAAATGAGAGAATTCCGAATGCTATCACCTCTGTTAAAAACACTCGTCAGATATTTGTAGACTACATAGATAAACTATATCAGCATGTTTTCGATATGATTAATAATGTTATCCTATTAAGGGCAGCTATGGGGTAGCAAATGTTAGAGTGCCCATCGAATCAACAATCGTACCAAAATGGATAGCCACGGGTGATTATAAAGCGGCGTTAATAATTGACGATGGAAATCAAACTGTTGGTTGTTTCAAATTTCAATTTCGCTTGCGTTAAAAATTCAATGGAACAATTAAAAACATAAAAATTTAATTTTAACTACTGTAAAATATGAATAAAACGATTTTAACACTGAAATGTCTTTTTTATCTTTAAAAATCCGTAACTAAAAAACAATACAATACATCTGCGTTACAATAAAGTTACAATTACCTGAAATTGACTTTCTTAACGTTCCGTACCAAAATGATAAAGTTGAAACACGTATGAAAGCAAATTCATAATCAACTGACTGTATTTTGAAATATTTCCTTGATTTAGGAAAATTTTGGACTGTTTTGTAGGAAGTGGTGAACCGATTTTGCGGAAAAGCGTTGTAGAGTGGAAAATTGGAAGATTTTGTTAAAGATGACTTCGGTGTGTCTTACATAACAGTATAAATAATTAATGTGAGAGTTTAAAAATACCTTGTTCACTTGTTATTTTAGAATTTTATTATATTTTTCAACTATGACTCTTAACGAGCTATAATCAAATGCAAAAATCGCTCTCTAACAATCTTGAAAACTCAAAATGGTAAAAAGGGTTAATAACATCATACAAATAGAAGCTACTTCAACTGCATTAGTAAATAATGCAATAACTGTTTTTCACAGACAAAATTTGGTTCTACGAAGAGAAACTATAATAGGGGCGTCCTTAAATTATCTATATAGATATATACGAGTGCGAAACGTGGACGGTGGGCCCGGCTAAAAAGATAAAAGCAGAAGCTTTTGTGATGTAGTCATATGGTGATGATGAATATATCGCAGGTAATGTAAAAAAGAGTCAACGTTTGCAGCATGTTACGCTAAAGTGTTTTTTATATTAATTTTGAAATACAATTTATTACAAAACATAAAGTTAATCTAATTGTAACACATTAATGCATATCGCGGGGAACATTCGACTTGATATACCAATATACAGAGTAAAATAATTCGAAGTGGTCTGCATTCTGTCGAATGGATCTCATCAGCGCGTCGCAGGCAGCTCCGACAGAACACAGACCAACTTTTACCTGCTGTCTTAACAGTGCGTTTTAGAAAATACTACAAATGGCGCAGTAAACGCCATCTGTAGCACGATGCTTTTAATATACAGAGTGTTTCTAAAATAAGTAATAAGCTTACACGAGGTAATGGTCCGAATGAATGCCAGTTCGGTCCTGGTAGGGTCACGTAGGGAAATACGACATTGCCACACAGCATATTTAAATAATTACTAATTGATTTACTGACCAACTAATAGGTGTTAGTTTGCAATTTCAAACAAATGAATTAGATGTACTAACAGAGGGAAGTCAGTAAGCAAAAGGGAGGTATGATGGTAGAGTACCTTCTGAGGATCATCCGCAATCGATCCCGCTAACTGTGGAAAAAGGTTGGAGCCTCAGTAAAAGTTACGTACCGGCATGATCGTCAAAGGTTAGGGGATGGTGGTGTTTCCAAGAACTCGAAATAGCTTACCAGTGCCGGAGTGCACGTAATCTTACTAGGAGACTTATTTTTTATGGAAAAACCTTCATGTTATAAATTTTGTTTTGTGCTTGAATTTACTTAAAACTTGAAATTTATGCTCTTTGATATAATTAAGCAAATGAAAAGAGATTGCAACGATTCCATTAGGTATATTTTATTTGCAGTCGGATTTATTCGAAGGTTGCTCTTAATACTCATTGTTTATATTAAGCAAATACGTGTTTTGGCAATTTTTAAAAATCAACCCTTAAGGATGAAATGTTGCTACGTTTGTATTTGCAATCTAAGCGACATTACATAAAATTAAAACGTTGTAAGGGTGAATTGAGAGTTAAAAGGTTTTATGAAGAAACAATATTAATTTCTGCAAGCGAAGTCGCAGGGAAAAGCTAGTACTTATCTTAATATCTAAAATATAATTTAACAATATGTCTATATACGGGATGCGCCAAAACTCCATTTACAAATAGACACTACAGGTTCCTGGGATAAAAATAAGTCCAGTGAACCGAATTTATCAATATTCCATATTGACTCGATTGCCCGTGAGAGCGCACCACAAGTACAAAAAAGAATAATTAAAACTACTTCATACGATTTCAATAAAATTCAAAACGTAGAAATGCCTGTGGAGGTACCAATGTTTGATATGATTTTTATGATTTTTACTAACATACAGTAAGTACAAAACAACATTTTTTTTATCTTAGCAAAAGACGATATGTTTTGGACATTTAATGTTCAACTTTTATTTGATTATGAAGTTTCAAAATTAGCTGTCTGGTAATCCCCAAGTATTTTTATAGAGATCGCAGGAAGAAACTCATTGGGGCCAATTAAAGACATTTGTAAGCTTTTAATACTAAGAACGTCCATTATGGCAAAGTCTTCATTCTTAAAATATCCTGTCGCAAAGTATTAATAATATATTATTATATGTACCTTATGGCAATATCATTATTTTATTTTATTTTCTCCCTGCTGTCCACACTTTTCCGCGCTGACTAAATGCACCCTCCGCTTTAAATGTAACATTGAATAAACAATTTTTAATTTCTTATTTTTTAATTCCAAAAATTGCTTTATGTTTTCTGCGTATAAGTTTGAAAAGCAAACATTTCTTCAAAATATTGAAACCAAATTGTGCTCCTGATTAAAAAATATTTTTTGAATTTCTCCTTTCATATTTACTGTTTCAGCAAGAAAATTCAGTATTTATGGAACCTTTATCTCAGTACTGTAAGACAATAATTCTGCTAAATTAAACATTTGTTATTCAGACAATTAAAATTTCTTCCATTTACGCGGCCGTATTATGATTTTACAATGTTCAATTAACCCCCTACGTACGTTGTTATTTAAGGTAAAGAAAAGATTTCTGTAAAGCAGAAATGCAGTAAGAATAATAATATAAAGAGTTCAACCAATTTATTTTTTTGTAGGAACTCATTTTACGTTATAAAGAATACCTGCTGTGAAAAAACATTTTTTTATTTTAATAATTATTATGAGCTAAAATAGGAAGAAAACAACAAACAAACTATGGACAAACAGCCTATAAGAGTTATGTATTTGTTCAGGCATGTATACAGTGGAACAACATCGGTTATAACGGCAGTTCTGATGTACCGTCAGTTTTTAACAGTCACGCAAATATACTATTCAAACCAACACTAAAAAATCGGTAATCGGATATAGCATCATATTTTTATACCTAGAAATTTTTGAACCGATCATACTATTGTCGGTGCTTTCGCCCGTTGACACCTCGCATGTAAAATAAAATGTTGCCCATCCCCAAGTGCAAAATTCCGAAATTGTTTTATAAATTCGTATTGCGTAAACTTTCTTTAATAACGACTCTCAGCTATTACGTAAAATATCGCCGATTTAGATGACTCTATTATCAAATACTGCTGTCGTTTGTATATCAAAGTGGATCAATGGGGAAGGTTGTATACCACTTCAATTCCTGAAGTGTAACACTAAACTCCATAAATATTTTATATAATTACTCAGATATATCATTAATACAGTCATTCTCTATATTTAAATGTTTTGACCTGTAACGAAAATTCATACTAAATAACATTTCGGGTGCGATCCAAAAGTTCGCGGACCGACGCCATAAATCCTTCGAAAATTATTTTTGAGCTTTGACGCGCCATCATCTTCGAAGTAGAGTATCCCTCTGCATTTATGTACTGGTCCCAAAGCTTTTTCCACTCTTGGAAGATTTTCTGGAAGTCCATTTTTGGGAACTAGTCGAGTACCGTTTCGATTGTCTTTGAATTTTTTCTACGGTTTCAAAACGACGTCCTTTCAGCCTGATTTTTAACTTTGGGAACAGCGCCACGTCAGACTGAGCTAAATAGGGTGAGTAAGGGGAGGGGGGAACGACCACCATTCAATTTTTCGCCAATAACTCTCGCGTCGCAAATGACCTGTGACATTGGGCATTGTCGTGGTGCAGCGTCCAACTTTTTTCTAAGCTCCTGCGCAACCGCTTCAAAACATCGTAGTAAAAGCTTGACTTCACGGTCTGACCTTATGGCACAAATTCCCCTAACTTAAAAAAAAAAACGAAGAGAATGCTCTTCCCATTGCTTCTCACCTGCCTACATTTTTTCGGTTTCGGTGAATTAACGTTTTTCCGGTGACTTGATTGCTGTTTTGTTTCTGCATCATATCCATAAATCCACGTTTCGTGGCCGGCAATCAGTCGAGAAACAAAGTTTTCGCCATTTGAATCAAGTTCCTTGAGTTCTTCAATGTTTCACTCCTTTTGATCAACAGTAAACAGTCTCGGAATATACTTTGTTGCTATGAGTTGCACGCTCAATTCTTAAGTCAAAATTCGCTGACAAATTCCACAACCGATTCCAAATTTATTAGCAACATCTTCAATTGTCTGCCGTCGATCTTCGCGGATGCATTTTTGGATTTACGCGATATTGTCTGGCGTAATGGATGTGGAAGATCGTCCACTTCGTTCATAATCTGCAAGTTTTTCCTGTCGGCTTTAAAGCAGACATACTATTCAAATATCTGTGTTCGACTCATTGCATGTTCATTAAATCTTTGCCGAATTATTTCAGGAGCATTTTTTTCAAAATTAAAACAAAATTTACTGCAAGCACGTTGCTCTAATTTTTCGTTCATGTTAAAAGTCGCAGTTACAAAAACACGCGTAGGGTGGCTGCTATTGAACCTGGCAAGTTCAAATTTGCAACGTACACTCATAAAACATTTCCCTACCCCCACCCATCGACAGGTCCCTGAACGGCTTCATGTTTTCGTATTATGGCATCAGTCCGGGATACCTTTATTCGTTGAAAAAATATAAACTGTTTATTTTTTTAAACCTTTAAATAGCATTTTTCACGCTCATGACGTTTACTGACGAAATTTCACAGTCTACACTCGAAGTACTTACGTGTTAAGAGTTGGTTACACTCTAAAATTATGCAATAGGTCTAACTGTAATCTTCAATAAATTAAAGCTACTTATTTGCTACTTTATATTGCATAATGAGGGGATTCAGTGAGTTGGAGCAAAATTAGCGGTGGTTGTAGAGGTAAAGTAGACAAAAATGATGGTAAAAAT